CATTCGGGAAAAGCCAAACGCTGGAGTTGACCACGGTCCGATGCACGGATGTCGCTCCTAAGGCTTCGATCGTGTTTCCCTTCCAAGTTTCGAAAGGCGAAGTGCTGATTTTCCGTTTCATCCGAGATTTTCGGGTCAAGGCATACTTCTCATCTTGGGAAGCGGGAAGGGACCTAGGATTAACCAACCCTCTAATAATTTGGAAGAGCCTCAAACAACTCAAGTTCGAGGTCCACAGCCTTTTAAGGAGGGTCCTATATGACTTTGCCATGGCGAATGAGTTTGTCGAAGGGTACCCCCACACCCACCCTAGTGATTGAGCAGGCTTTAAGTTTGCTTGGAAGTGCATTCTGTTTCGGGCGGCCACTGGCGGGAGGTGCAGCTTTTTCTTCAGCGGGTAAGGGACCCGCAGGGTTTTCCGCAGCAACCCGGACTCGCGAGGCAACTGCATTGGAGGAAAATGCGACATAGAGGCCGCCGAAGGGCTATGGGCTGCTGGTCTGGATAGATGTGGGCCAACTAGAAATTCGTTCAACACATAAACCCTAAGGGTCATGAGCCTATGCAGACACGCACCAACGGACCCTCCAAGGATCTCCAAGGTCCACCAGTCTTTGAGGACCCTCGTAGAACAGGTGTTTGAGAGGATGCCCCTGATAAAGCAGGTGGTTTGGAATGCATCGTTGCAGAAACCCTAAATGTCGACCCTTGGTGAATATATACTCCTCCCCAATAAAAGATGCTAGTCCCTTTGAAATGCTGGTCTCATTCCTTCATCTACCGTTTGTTATTTGAAGCGTATTTGTGTTTCTTATGGGTGTCTATCATTCACAGGTCGACAGTTCAAGTGATTGTCTCCGTTTCCCAAGAGTCATGACCCTCCATCTATCTCGTGTTCGCGACTCCCCTCCTGTACACTGAACTCCAGCAACAAAGTCGCTTTCCGTCAAAGAAACATAGCCTCATCATAAATTGAAGCAAGTTTCAGATCCAAGTTTACTGGACCTACACGGGTTTTCGCTCAATTTTCCCCTGCAACCGATAGGCAGGAGGCAGGTGGATGTTCATCTTGTCGTGATCAGCCAGGCTTGCACTTCCGTGGACAAAACATGCCTAGGGTGAAAGTAGACCGCGCAATTCCCAAATGATGGAATCGGGCTATGTAAACACAAGCATAAAAGCAAACACAAACACAAACAAGTCTGTTCACTTAGTAAACAAATGTGGAGGTTCGGGGAGGTCCCCACGTCAATCCTCCGCCATCCCCCGAAACATCTCGCATCGAAAGGGCTTCTGCCAGTGCTACCCGGGCTGGTACGGCACTACCTGCTCGGTGTCCTGTCCAAGATGCAGCCAGGCCATTCCGGGAACTCAACGCACGCGCAAAGCCACGGGAACCTTGGTTGGGTTTTCTTCTGGAGGGGGGCCGCCCTTCAGAGTCAACCCAAAGATGGTTTCCCTCTTTTGGAGATTCACAGGTGTGTCAAGGATTGCTTTCCGGGAAAGGGTCCCTCCCCGAGCTTGATGGGGGGGAGGCCGGAGGTGGTTCAGCGAACAAGCCGTCAGATCCACTCGGAATCCGTCCCAGCCACACGGCTTCTGCAGGAAGGATCTTTTGGCTGTGACGAAGGCAGAGAAGGGAATGGAACTTGCAGCAACCTCAGCACGCCATGGACGCCATGTCTAGACCCCGCCGATTAAAGCCCAAGGCTGGTTGTGTTGGAAAAGGAAATCCCTTGGTGTACTTCAGGGGGACACTCCCTTTCATAATCTTAGAACTACAGCAACCAGCTTCATTTCAGTGCCCTCGATCCATTTTTTGGGTGCTATGATCCGTGTTCAAAATAAGGGCACTTAGTCCTACATCAAAGAGGTCACCTAGGCCACTTAAAGGGCACTTAGACCCTCAGGGTTGCCCTCTTCAGCAGATCCCTCCTCAGTCCGGGCAAAGAGCTGCAGCGACACGTGAATGCGAATGACACTCACACGGGGGGGGGGGGACCGACGTTGGGCAAATGGAGCTGCAGCGACACGCGAATGACACTCACGCAGCGGGGACCGACACTGGCGTAAGTGACGTCAAATGTCCTTCATTGGAGGGCACTAAAAATATGCTGGAAGCTGTTTTTTTTTGGGGGGGGGGGAGGTTCCAGGTTAGTAGAGCTTCGGGTGACCCAGGAAGTGCCAGGTTGATGAAAGACCGGCTTGACTCTGCTAACATGGAACTTGGCAGAAATCGGGGTCATTCTCCGTGAGTCCCCAGGGAACCCAGGGAAAATGCTTTCGGAGGGGGATATTAGGAGCTTCCACGTTAAGTTTGCCAGTGGCTTTTTTTGCCATAAATCAACACGCAAGGCAAAAGATGACAGGGAGAGCTTGAAAAGCGTAAAGTTCTTCTTCGTGCCCAAATCCAAGCTGGCGACCTTCATGGATGGATACGCTTACATGCTTGAATTCGGCAGCCCCCATGGTGAATTATCGGATGAAGGGGATGCGGCCCTTACAAGTCCATGTTTGGGGTCGGGGGTGACGAATAGATTAGGGGGTACTCAGGGGCCTAAGCTTACACGGAACCTAGCTAGCTAACCGGCTGGACAGGGTGTTGCCCTGCCCCAGGAAATACCTGCGACCCCGGGTCCACGGGCAGTCTAGGTTAGTTAAAAACCTGGCTTGCAGCAGGGTCTATGTTGGTGAGTGCCAGCTTCATTTTGCACACGGAGTTCCATGATTGTTTTCGTTTGTTCATGTGGGGTTCCAAGATTACGGACCAAAGAGTAATCAATGCTTTGGGGTAGTTACCAATGGGTGTTCAAACCACGTATTTGTGTAACCATGAATATTTATGTTTTCCTCCTCGTTTCCTTGTTACCATGGGTATAACTTCTTTTTCCCTCACGTTTGAAGATCCATGTAGACCATTTTGAGCAGCACACGGCCTTCGCTGAGGCATTTGCCGGGTGGGATTCGACGGGCCTTCCTGCTCGGATCCCGCAGAATACCACCTCACCGAGCCGGGGTGCTTGGGACTTTGCAACAGTTTCTCCTGGGGCAGGGTGACGTTTAACCAGATTTGGAGTAATTGTTCTTGCACATGGCACATGAAGCCGTTTTGACGTGTTTTTTTTGCCGGAGCTCGGGCAAGATGAGCTAATGAAGGTCCAAGAGGACTCCTATACTTCTTGTGAATAGCTGCCCCTTGGGCGAGCCCCCGAACCCTGGCGTCCAATGTAGACTCAGACCTCAACCCGGAGCAACCGAAGCGATCGACCAATTCAGGGAACCGAGCGCTCAACAAAAAGATCGAATCGGACTTCGGGGAATGGCAACTTGCCCAGACATTCATTGAGACACCCGGGGCGCGGCTTGGCAAAGGCGGCACAGGCCTTTCCAGGCCCCAAGCCTGTGCCGTTTGAAAGCAGAGTGCCAGCATTTTTGTCAAATGGTCCCCCTACTCCCAAGACCGATGCCAAAGTTCGAGATCAACTTCGCTGCATCATGCAACGCATCGTTCATCAGACTTCGCACGCATTCCGCTGTGGGCCCGAGCTTGTGGTTTACTCAAACAAAACTAGGTTTCCCAGTAGTGCCCTTTTACCCTTTTTGTTTGGGGGAGGGTTCCCCTACTAAAATAGACTACAGAAAAAAAGTTGGTACCCTTATTCTGACCTCTGTGGAGGACCTAGAAAATGTGGTTTGGATTTCCTTTAGGAGAATCCCAAAAAGGGTGATTCACTTCAAAAGACGAGCCACCCATTGCTCTTCCGGCAGCGAATGCACTCTCCTCGGACATGAGGAGGCTTGAACTTGAAATGTAGGAAGTGAGCCCCTGCAAACCATTGAACACCGGTTTTTCAACATGTACCCCTGGAAAAATCGGGGGTTGTGAATCGGGACGGGGGGGGGGGGAGGGGTGAGAGTGTGTTTTTCTTATGAGGGAGGCTTTTCACCACTTTGAGGGCAGGATGTACGAATTCAGAGTCAAAAGAGGGAAACAATTCGCAGACGTTTTGGTCCAGAGACTGCCCGTGACTCCGCCCAGCTAATCAAGTATTCGACCCTGCCGATGCCGTCCCGCTTCCCGCTCCGCAGCACTGGTTCAAGTGCATCATACCTTCTGCTTGCCGGACAATTTCTAGGATTCCAATATGAAAACAATGGGGTTAGCATACTCACCATTGTGTACCGGAGTTTCGTCTAAGTTGGGTCCCAAGGCCATTCTTATTTTGGGGGGTTGAACCGGATGTGTAGAGTCCTGCTGTTGTCCTTGTGTAATCTACAGGAGGGTGACACATGGAGATCCCATTCAGCGGATCGAAACGGATCCTCTAGCTCCGATCTGCGCCCAATGGACACGGATTGTATCAGCATATCGGACGCTCCATTGCCCGACGAGGGGGCGACAAAAGAAGAAGAGGTCTCCACACCAGCCCCGGCGCCCAACTTGAAGGCCACGCGGTTTGCTGGCCGCTGGGATGTTCTCTAGCAATGATCCAATTGTCGGAGAAAGGCTGTTTAACGATGAGCTGGTTTTGAAGGATTCGGAACTGTCCTGTAGATTTGCCCACAATGTTCGGGTTAATATTACAGGGATTCCAACTGTTGGGTTATATATAATATGTACCCAAGGAATTTCATCATTCAGCTTGAGTCACCATTATTTTGAATAGGCGGTTGAGCCCTAGGGCATACAGTACTGTAAGAATGAGCTGGCATACCCAAGCAATAGGCACAGCTAATACATGGAGACTTCCCAGGACGTTTGCCATGGCTCCTCGTGCCAAGTGATTGTTACTCACTCGGATGGAGGCCGAATGTTTTGGTCCGCAGCCATCCGGGTCCAGTGTTTTATGTTGTTTAGTTGGTTTTGTGGTTGGGTTTCCGAATTGAGCAAGCTTTAGCACGGATTGGATCCGAGGACAACCCAATCATGTCTCTGACAAATCACACCCTGAACAAAGGTGGATAGGGGGGAGTGCGGGTTGAAGCCTTGTGCTGTCCAGGAGGAAGAAGTCTGGGGTCGGATTCTGGGCGAGTGGCTCTCAAGGATGCAGCCGGCAGGGCCCGAGTATCTCAGGGCCACTACGGCAGGCAGTGGGGGAAACCTCGGACCGGAACTCCCGTTTTTGGGGGGTTTTTCAAACCACTCAATTACTTAAGTAGGTTGCATCCATGGATACAAGTGGGGCAACTGGGATAACCATGGTTATGCCGTGAGCACCCAAGTACTCCAAATATCCCGCTTTTTGCAGCTAGCATGTGACGGGTGTTCACGGCAAATGCCTCCATTTTAGTCAGCTGACATCAACTGACATGGTCTTAAACAGTTTAAACAAGCGGGTATTTCACGACGGATTCATGAAGCGCGTATATTCATACTGTGGATGGACGAAATCCTGCACCAGTTAGGATGGATGAAGCAACAACTCTTGAAGAACCATCTACCACTATAAGGGCCGAAATACTACCCTCCCAAGACCCAAGTTTAAGATCCAGCGGCACGCTAGATTGAGGGCATCGAGACTACCTCAAGATTTGATTCATTGATGCAAGGTCGCAACAAACAAATCAAAAACAAGTTGGCAAAGATGGTTTGTTTGAAACATATCTCAGGGAAATCCGTGTCAGTGATGCAAGGTTGCAAAACCAACGTTGGCAAAGATGTGTTGTTTGCCCTCAAAAAAAACATCGTCGCATATCGTTAGGCCGCGCCTTGTTCCTGGGCAGAGCCTTTATCTTTCGCAAGGACTTGCGCCTCTCGCTCGAGAGCGGGCAGGGGCGAAAGCATGTTTGTTAGCTGCTAGAGTGGTTAGATCATTTGCTTGTGTCATGTGTTGATCCATTTCTCAGGTGCCACTAGCAAGGACCCGGGTTCGCGGGACTGCCAACGAACCAAGAAATCCTTGGGGACGTTCCCTTTGCCGGAACCCAATGCAGACCCCACCAAAGGGGCCAAGAAATCGAGCCCGTTCTCGAAGACTTCCGACGGCTCGTTTCTATGGTTTTGTTTGACCCATGGTCGCCCAAATTGTTGTACTGGTTATTTGCTTAGAATGGAAATCTTGGAGCAACCGGGTTGCAGCCGGAGCCTCTGACAGATGGATCCACCACCGGTATTTTGGAGAGGGCTTGGCTTTCGGAGGTTGAAGAGCTGGGGGTTACGCAGTTTTGTTTGTCTTTGGTTCCATTTACCAGGGTTTCATTTTGGGCTCCATGTGAGCCGGAATCAAAACTCGAGCAGATGAAGGTTAATGGGCATTCCCAGCCATTAATAGGTGCGGATATCCGCCTTTTTGAGCTCTGGTTGGTTTGGGTGCGCCATGTTAATACCAGGTTTTGATTGTGAGTCGCAGGCCAGGGTGGGATGTTTGTTGGGTCTGCCGGGGCGCGGATTCTACGCTGAATATGTTTGGGATGCCCGCTCCAACATCGCGTAGGGCCCTTGACTCCTATGGGTCGTACGAACCGGGGGGGTTCGGGTCCACACGTGGATTCCCTACCCCCAAGAAGGCAAGGCTGATTTTCAGGGTTTGTCCAAGTGAGGCTATCAGACATTTTTTTTGAAGCGCCGGATCATTTCAGGACTGCGTGCCTGTACCCTCACGTCCCAAGTTCCTGGACTTGAAACATGTTGGGAAGACCAGTTTAGTGGAGCCCAAGAAGCTTGTTTGCTTTTTTCGGGCCATCGGGAGTGAGTCCCTGCTTGCACCCGCCCTCTTTTGCCCAGAGGTTTCCCAGCAACAGCTCCCAGTGATCTTGAGCCGTCAGGAGAGAACTCACGCGGCAGACAAGGCCGCGGCGGGCAAATTTGTCGGCTTGGGTAACACATGCCTACCTACCTGCCTACCTGCCTGCCTACCTGCCTGCCTACCTACCTACCTGCCTGCCCACCTACCTGCCTACCTACCTGCCTGCCTACCTACCTGCCTACCTCCCTGCCTACCTACCTGCCTACCTACCTGCCTACCTACCTGCCTGCCTACCTACCTGGCTACCTACCTGCCTGCCTACCTATGCTTACCTACCTGCCTACCTACCTACCTACCTGCTTACCTACCTACCTGCCTACCTACCTGCCTACCTACCTCATACTATCTACCTGCCTACCTACCTGCCTACCTACCTACCTGCCTACCTACCTGCCTACCTACCTACCTCTACCTACCTCTACCTACCTACCTACCTGCTTACCTACCTGCCTACCTACCTACCTACCTACCTACTACCTGCCTACCTACCTACCTGGCTACCTACCTGCCTGCCTGCCTGCCTGTCTCCCTCTAGCCTGCCTGCCTGCCTGCCTGCCTGCCTGCCTTGCCTGCCTGCCTGCCTGCCTGCCTGCCTGCCTGCCTGCCTGCCTGCCTGCCTGCCTGCCTGCCTGCCTGCCTGCCTGCCTGCCTGCCTGCCTGCCTGCCTGCCTGCCTGCCTGCCTGCCTGCCTGCCTGCCTGCCTGCCTGCCTGCCTGCCTGCCTGCCACTACATGCATGCATGCATGCATGCATGCATACAGACAGACAGACAGACAGACAGACAGACAGACAGACAGACAGACAGACAGACATACATACATACATACATACATACATACATACATACATACATACATACATACATACATACATATATGCACACATACATGCACACATACATGCACACATACATGCACACATACATGCACACATACATGCCCACATACATGCCCAAATACATACATATTACATGTCTATATGTAATATACATATAAGTATATATATATATGGCATCAAATGAACCGCATGCAATGGATCCAATGCTGCCCTTTGCAAAGGAAAGGCAACCAATGTTAAAGGTAGCCTTCAAAGCCAATGCTTTGTCCAGGTAGATGCCTTTGGTCGCTTGACATCAGACCTGGAGCCTCGGGTATTCATTAGAGCTTAAGAGCCTAGCTGATCAGAGGGATTTGGCGCGCCCCCCTGCCGCCCAACCAAGGTGCCAAATGGTACAAGGAGTGAGAGATGGAAGCACCCGTCCTTGGTTCTACTGTGGGTTCGAGCGATGCCTCAGAATAACGTACCAAACAGTCATCGAGAAGAGACCCCGAGGGAGGCGCTTGGTTCATTGCCTGTGATAAACCGCTCTTGCAACAGCCTGATTTTGGTATCCCTTTCAAGGCATTACTGTAGACCAGTGATTGTTGCTCAAAGACATTTGGCAATGAGTTTTAAAGGGGAACCCCCTCAAACGGTTAAACGGTTGGCGGACACAAATCCCTACATCAATGATGTCTACCAAAGGGTCCCTAGTTTAAACTCATACCCATTTGGATGCGTGTCCAAGAAATCGCGTGTGTTTTTTTTTCGGCGATTGGGCAGGCGGATTTCAGGCACAGCTTCCGCACGAAGCACTGCGAGACATTTTTGTCAGCTTTTATTTTGTTGCATTGGGTTTGGGCCCAATGCAAGTGACAGTGGGTTTTTGTGTTATTGTTTGTTTGTTTTTTGCCATAGAAACAACCAAATGCAAAGCTTCGGGTTTCTTTTGTGTTACCTTTTGACCAGCGCAAAAGCAACTTTTTGCAGGGGGATGGCTCCGTCTGGCCAAGGAAGAATATCACGTGCTTTTGGTCACACAGCTGGAGGACACGCGCATGGCGCAAGATTCTTGGAGCGAATTGTCGCCGCTGCCTCTACTTCCAACTTTCCGTGCTTGTGTCCTTTTTTGAGGGCACCCTTTTGGGAGTGATTGAAACATCACTTTGGGGACCCAAGATCTTGAACTTTTTGAACTCCCCAAGTGAAGAAACATCACTTTCGGCACCCGGGATTTTGAACTTTTTTGAACTCCCCAAGTACAGAACCATCACTTTATGGGACTTTAGGGGGCCCGGGATTTTCAACGTGTTGAAGTTTGTTGGATTTGGTTGGTCTTCCCAAATCAGGAACTAGGGCTTGAGGGACCCCGGTTTTTGACCTTTTGTTTGTCTTTCAAGCTCCCCAAGTCCAGGGATTCAGATTCGAGGGGCCCTGGATGTTGACCCAGTTCCTGTTTTTCAAAATGTCCAAGTAAACAAGCATGACTTGAGCGACCCAACTTGCGTAACTTCCACCAACCCACCTCCAAACCATCAACCCAAACTAAATGGAACATCTCACACACCCAACCCGAACTGAATGAAGCAACCGGCCCCTCCAAACAGCAAGCCTAGCTAAATGAAGAGAAAGCCCCCCCCTCCAAACCACAAACCCAAACTGATGGAAAAGCGGCCGCCAACAAAAATTAAATGAAACTAGAACCGTCAGCCCAAACTCAATGGAACACGCCCCCCCGCCCCCAAAAATGGTTATAAGGGGGGCCCTGGGGTAGGGTATTTTCAATTCAAGGTTTCAGGGGCAGGGTTCATTTTCAACAAGCAAACCATTTTGTCCAAAACACCAAGGGGGATTGTGGGGAATTTTCCTAAATTTTCTCAACATTTTTTTACAATTTTTTCATTATGAAACAGTCTAAGATTTCATCATTTTCAAGGTTCGGGTTTCAGTCAATTTTACGACTTTCTGGGGGACACATGTGTTTAATCATATTATAAGTTGTTAATATGAATAAACCAATAATATTGCTTAGGGTTTCCGCCTGTCAGGCGTAAAACGGACTTTGTCCGGTTTCCAATTGCTAAAATCAGCATAAATACCAATGTTTTCACCAATCTCATTCCACCACTGTTCTATTTTTCTTGACCAGCTTAATACTGTTTCTTTGTCAATATGTTTGTTTCTTTTCTTATGCTTCTCATAATTAAACCGAATGATTGCTTGAAGAATTAGAAAATTTGTTCTCCTAAAAAAGAATTTCATATCTTCAATGTTTTTACAACCTGTGAATGCTATATTGTTTAACTCTGCTCCATATTCAATTACTTTTCCTTCATCATATAATTCATTGTAAGTCTTCATTAACAAATCACGATGATAACATTGTATTAATGGCTTTTCTGGATAACCCAATTCTTTCATTGTTTCAATTACATTGTTCATTTCTTCATAGGATGGATATGGATTTAACTTAATGAACCTTTTAACTTCATCACTTTCTTTTTGTCTTTTCTCCATCAACTTCTCTACATTTTCTGTGGTTAATACTGTCATACCTTCCATTGCTCTTATTATATTAAGGTCTTGTTTCTTTAAGTATATATATTTAGTTTAATAATATTATAAGATAATAATATTAATAAACTTAGTCATCATCTCTAAAATAATAAGTACCCATATAATTAAACCAGTCTATAATCAACCTTTTCTTTTCTAACAAATGACAAACGAATTTATGATAAAACTTATTATCAAAAATGTTTTTATAAACGACTTTGTCTTTGTTTTCTATATATTGCCATTTCAACATTTTAAGAAAATCCCTACACATCGAGATGCTAAAATCTTTACAAGATACATAACCATCATTATTATGAAAAAGTAAATTATAATGAAATTGAGTAGCGGTTTCATAATGCAAGATTAGCCTATTGTCATATCCATACTCTTTTAATGTTTTGTCTAAACCAGTTGTAAATATTGTCCGTAATGATTTTTTCGTTGGACATTTATTTAACCTCGTCATATACCAAATCCACTTATCCATTTCTTCTAAATTGACAGGTTCGTTTTTCATTAAATGTTTTGTAATGGTGCATCTTTTACAACATACAAAACTCAAAATATTATCAATGATACAGTCAGGAAATATGTCATTTGCTTTTTTGACTTTGTTGTTATATATCTTACAACCATGGCATTTTACAATTTCTTTTGTCAATTCTTCTCTGATACACTTATTCATTTTTTCTTAATATATTAAGGGGTCATTTCTTTAAGTATTTTTAGTTTTTGCAGGGTTGATATTTTGGTTTTCAGTTTTATCATTTTCACTTTCAGACTCGTCCCCATCCACACCGGTAGGTACAGGCATGTCAGTAGGAGGTGCTATTTCATAATTAGGATTTTCTTCTGATGATGATGAATTAACAGTATGCGTTGAAGAACTATTAACAGTGATAGGAGGAGAACTATGAACACTAACAGGCGGTGAAGTGTTTAACTCAACTTCCTGACTAACATTTGTATTTAACCAATTCATTATGGCAGTTGCTATATCGTATGATGTTACTAATGAATTCATTGTTAAATTAACTAACAACTCTGAACCTTGAATTGTAGTTAATGTAGTGTGGTATGTTAAATGTGCTACTATTTGACCTATACTAAAACCTGACCTCATCATAAATTCTATAATCCTCATCAACATAAATAATTTCTTTCTATATTTATCAATGTCATCATCTTTTTTCATCATCATCATCATCGTCATCATCATATAAATCAGTGTCATATGTAAATGCTTCTGCTTCTGCTTCAGCCTTGGTTATCATTTTACTTTTGAAACTCTTTGAAGAACCGCCTAATAGTTTTGTCATATCATCAAAATTATAAGTTTGTGTTTCTTTATCATTTGGTAGGTCTGTTTGTGTTGCCTTGTTTTCTTTGTTAAGCGTTTGTGTTGCCTTGTCTGCCATCATAACTTGAGCGTTCATATATCTTTCTTTATTTTTATAATTCATTAAATCCATTTTATCAAAATCAAAATTATTCAATAACATATCTTTCTTGTATTTCTTCAGTATAACTGTTGTTTTTATTTTGTTTGTCATTGCTTGTTTAAGCATTTCATCATATGTGGGGCGTTTCCTTAACTCGTGTTTGTGGTTGTTAATCATTTTATATAATTGTTGATAAATTATATAAATGATTTAGATGTCGTATTCACTCCTATTGACAAATTATGTAAAATGATTGGTTAATCCTTTGTTGCTTTGCCTTTGCCTTTAATATCTCTCCAATCTTCCATTCTTTTTCTTAGCAATTCATCATTTACTTTCGTCATCCATTTTCCGTTGTTTATAAGTTTCTCCACCAGTCCAACTAAATAAGTTCTACCGGTTTCTTTTTTACCTTTACCTTTTTTCTTTGTGTTTGAATATTGTTGTTCCTGTTCTTCAGTAAGTCCTGCTCCTCGTAAATGTAATTGAAATAATATGTCTTCCTCTTTTACTGTGCTTCCTTTCCAATGGTTTATATCAGTTGAATAGTCAATGGTTTCCTTATGTGTTCTTGTTTGTCTTTGTGGGACTGTGGATGAGCTGTCAGCGTTGTCCATTGTTTGCTCTCTTGATGATGCCACTTTCTTTGCTACATTTTTGATTTTACGATTTACAAGGCCTTTAACATATTCTTTAACTGCTTCATCTTCTGTCATAAGCGGCTCTAACGGTGGTAATTCATCATCGCTTGATTTAGCAGTTGCCATTGATTGAACCTCTGATGGTGTATCATATTTTGTTTTACTCCAATCTGTGGCGACCCGTGCCCTTTCATGTAAATCATCTAAAAATTGTCGTCTAACATCTTCTGACATTTGACTTGTTTGTTGCTCGTGATGTTCCTCGGCGTCGTCCATTGTGGCACTTAGTGTTTGTATTGCTCCATCTCTTAAATCATCCATTTCATCATCCCTTGCCATATCAAAATGAGCGACTGTTTTAGGTTTTTCTAACATTTTTTGAAAATGTTGTTGTCTCAAATCTACGGTATTATTGTCATACACTGTTCCTAATGGACTATCACGAAAATAATAAGCGTTTCTGTCTATTACATCTCTGATATTCTTATTTTTATATTCTTCCTTTGTAATTTCCTTTATCAGTTCATTATAAGACGGTCTTAATCTCAATTGTGATTTTAGCGTTTTCATCTGTGCATTTTCTAATCTCATTATTATATGAAATTAATTAGATTATAAAATTTATTTATCTAATTTAATTAATTTATTCAAAATTAAAATCTTGTCTTAATTGATTGATTATTCCTTTTTTCTTCTTAATCATTTCCGAATAGGTTTTACCTGTTTCACTTGACGGATGATGTCTTATTTTTTCACCTTCCAACCTTTGGATTTCATTAAAATACGCCTGTGCTTCATCTTGATATCTTCTTCTATTTTGAAATATAGAGTAATCTTTTTTAGCGTTATGAAATTCTAACTGTTCCTTCATTTCTTTCAGATATGTATAGTTTGGTTGGTGTGCTTTGTTGTCTCCGTCGTAATAGTAATGGACATTAGATTTATATTTTTTACTTGGTTTTGTTATGGGATTATAAAATTTGTTTGATGTTGGTAATTGACGCTCGGCAGAGCCTCGCGAGCGTTCGCGACCTGCTTTACCATTCTTTGTAAGTGTTGATGTTATATTTTCAAAATCTGACTTGTTCATATAATAATAATTAGATTATAAATTTATTTATCAAATAATTTTTGATACTAATTTATTAATATGTTCTTGTTTCTTTTCCATCTTCTGCTGTTTCATATTAATATATCTATCTTTTGCGGTTTCAAATACTTTATTTGCTGTGCTTTCTATATGTTGTTTTAACCTTTCTTCAACTTTTTGTTGAACACGCTTTTCTATTTCTTGTTCATCCACTTTTGGAATATCGCTTTTTACTCTGTTATAAACATCTTCTTTGAATTCTTCTGCTTGGACTGGATTGATGACCTTTTTTCTAATTGGTTTGTTTAAATCTATAACTTTGTTAGTGCCCTTCT